TCAAAATATTGAGAAAATTGCCTTTAAAGTTGTCCAAATGAAGTTCTTATCAATGCATATTACTAATCAAAAATTAGGTTTTGATATATTTATGGTAGGAAATTTACAAAATATCTTCGTGGAACATAATCTTTACTTAATATCCTAATGATTTTTGGCATAAAAGAAAAATCGATAATTTTGACCCATACAGTGTATTGTTGGCTATTGCTACAAATATGGCCATGCTACTTATGACTGGTTTTGTGGTCCAGGGTCACATATGACCTGCCAAATACTATGTACTTTATCTTGCTACTTTAACTTGCTACTATTTAAATCATATGCATTTTTTATGCAAAACACTTTCACTTGCAGAAGAAATGAATCGACTGCACACAGGGTATTTCTACAATGGCATCGGTTACTGAAAGCTTTACTTTTGCATGATGCTGCATCCACATTGATCGTAGTTCCAAGAGCACTGTCATATTGGTCAGCGAGACAAAAAGTTACCGAGTGCACTTTTAATTGATAGTTCACCCAAAAGTGAACATTGTGTTATCATTTACTCACCCTCATGTTGTTCCAAACCTGTATGACTTACTTGCTTACACTTTATTTTAAGTTGTCCTTGTTACAGTGTAAATATACATTTACTGAGTATAATTAATTAACTACATGTACTTACCATATAGGTAGGATTAGGATTTAGTGTTACTTGCATGTAATTATGCATAATTTATTGTTATTATAATAGTAAGTACATGTAACGTGCAACAAGGACACTTGCCACTTATTTTATTCTTTAGAACACAAAATAAGATATTTTGAGAAGTGTTTTTGTCTATACAATGGAAGTTAAAGGTCACCAAAACTGTTTAGGTTCCAGGTTTAAGTAATTTTTTACAGGGATTACAGAATTATTATTTTGGGGTGAACTCTCCCTTTAAAAACTTAAGATTGTAGAAATTCAGTTTATTTAGTTGGTTATTTGCATGAAGAGTATTTTTAATAAGCTGTTGAATTTCAGTGTCACCTTCTGGCAGTCATCGAACCAACCATTTAAGAGCTGTAGTAGGTGCCAGGACTACTACTACTACCTCAGAATGCAGAAATCTCCTTCCTTCCCTCTACACTGAGGTGTGGAGTTGGGGGAGGGGCCAGGAAGGTCAGCTAGGTCATGGAGACTATTTGCCCAGGTACATTAGAGCCCTCATAAACACATAAGTGTTTTGTTTGTTTAACTGTTCATGTCCTTGACCACAGTGCATGACTGGAAACATATTTTGGTTTTCCTCCTACAGGTTACAGCCTCTCTGCATCAAGAGCTTAAGTAAAAAGGAAGTTGTCAAGATCACTGCTGGAGCAAATCACTCATTGGCACTGACAGCTCAATGCCAGGTAGAGAGGGACTTCAGAATATTGCTCCTTTCGATTATAGACTGCAACAGTGTCTTCAAAATTCTTCAGTAAGGCGTTTTAGGCCTGAACTGATTCATTGCATCTTTTTTATATTTTTGTATGTATATTTTTGCTAAGTACAAGACTGTATATTTATAAGGAAATTACTACTGTAATAATCCCTTAAAGCCTTGCAAGTGATGTAACAGCAGCCTGAGTCTCATTTCTGTCATTTTAAATTTTTTTTTTTTTTTATATCAGAAAACTGTAGTATTGCATTTGAATGGGATTGTTTGATTTGTAAAAACTTTAAGTAGGTACTAGGTAGCTAGCTAATGTTACCCTACCAGCTGTCAAAACATAAGCACAATCCTGCTAGTCATGATTGCCATTATGATAACAGCAACTTCTCTTATCAGAGGCTCTTGTCTCATTATTGTAAGTAGTAGTGTAGTGCTGCTCCTTGAATTTGGCTGTTAAATACAGTGAAGTTGCATATGATTGAACACCTTGTAGCTTACGTTAGGTCTGTTTTGAATGTTTAGGCCACTGTAATTTTAGTTTTATTTATATACTTTACTATTTACTTTTTATTACAATTTTAGTTTATATGTTAGCAATTTTGTTAGTAATTTTTGTTGTAATTTTTTTCCTTTTTTTAAATTTACTATAGCTTCAATATATTTTTGTTTAATTTTAAAAATTGTAATACTTCAACTTAAACTTAGTTATTTCTGTTACATGCCAAAGCAACATGTCTAATTTCCATTTAAGCTTTTTAAGTATTTATATTTCATCTTTATTACGATTAGCGAAAATAATTATTAATAGTTTAACTATTAGTATATAGTTATATAGTATAACAAATGTTTCTCTTCCTCATAACAATAAGTGTGTATTTCTTCTCTCTCACAGGTTTATTCCTGGGGAAGTGACAAATTTGGACAGCTGGGTCGTATAAATGCTCCTAGCACAGTTCCTAATCTCGCCATGGTAATTTATTGATGATATGCAATCACTTTTTCTGCAGACCTTCCCTTTTAAGGCATACAGTTCCCTGTATTAAAATGAATGTGCTTTTGTGTGACGATAGATTTCTGAGGGTATCCGTGTGTGGGACGTGGCAGCAGGGCAAACGCACACTTTGCTGCTGGCTGATGGAGACTGTTATCAGCCCATACTGTACTACAGTGGAGAGCAGGTGCTGGAGAGCACTGACAGCGCTCATCCCCTCTCCGGGACCTACACCCAGACGCCCACCCTTCTGCCCTTCTGCATGAATGTTCGTACAGACCGTTATGAAAGTTTATGCTGTTGATACAGTTATTTTTTACTGCGTGTAGGCTGTGTTGTAAAATAACATCCACATTTATTAATTTTACACAATAAACTCATAAATTAGCTGATGCCATCCTACTTCACTGAAGATTGTTGTACACAGAGTACATCATTACAATACATACCACAAAATTAGTAGCAAAGAAAAAGGGGGAAAAAAATATTCAAAATAATAACAAAATATGATCAAATAAAATAGACATTCCAAAAGATATCTAAAAAATAAACTGCAAGATTTATTATATAACTAACTATTATATAACTTTTAGATTTATTTTTGTTAATAAATCTGAAAGAAAATATAAATATTAGATGGAAACCTTAAACTAAACGAAAATTAGAAATGTTGTCAACTGAAATATGTTGAAGTACTAAAAATTACTAAATGAAATAAAAATAATGCTTAAACTGAAATAAAAACTAAATCAAAGTATTATAAAGAGTTATAAAAGTTTATAGATATTTTTTTAAAACGAAATATAAAAATTACAAAAGAATAAAATTACTGCAAATTAAGGTAAAATTAAAATGAAAACTTAAAATATAAAAAATTAATTCAAAATATTAACTTGGTATATAAATAATAAGTTGCTTATTAATAATTTTGCCAGCAAGTATCAGTGATTGGTTGATATACATAATGTAAGGTAATGGCATTCATTTTAATGTTTGTGATTTACTGTTTTATGTAAAGCAGCAATTTACTATAAATTGGCTGTGTCCTTTGTTTAGATTGGCTATGTGAGCAAAGTGTTTGGGGGAGGACTGAATTGTTTGGCCTTGGCTGATCAGAACGCAATGGGTTTCATAGCTACAATCCATGAACTCGCTTCGGCAGAGAGGAAATTCTACTGCACCCTCAGTAAGGTGAAGAGCGAAATCCTGAGCCCCCTGCTAGCCCGTGGTATGTAACAGATTGATTTACTCATTGCACATTTTGGATTGTTTGGATAATGGATTGTTATTGGGTTTTATAATTTGATATGGATTGTATCTGCTCTGCCATAATGTAGCGAGTTTGGCCTTGTCTCTGGGTCAGTCCTCCATGTTGCTGTTTCAAGAGATGGCTGGTAGTTTCAGCAAGCTTTGCCATCTGACAGGACAGCACTCAGTATCCCTCACCAACTTCCTGCAGCGAGGAAAAGTGATCAAAACACTGGTCTTGATCAAGAACACAGACCTTTTCATGGACACATATAAAGAGTAAGTACTATTCAAACTATCACCTTTTATATTTTACAATCTCTATGATAACACCAGTGATGATGTTTTTCCTCAGGTACTGCGATCCAGTAGGAAACTTTCTTGTTATGGGAGGATTCCAGTCATTGCTGAAGCCCTCACAGTGCGTTGTCATAATCATTCATGTATTATCTATGGGCATCATTATAATATATGCAAATAATATATTTGGTCATGCATGATTTGTTTCTTCAGAGAATGCTTTGGGAAGAAACTGGAGTTGATACAGACTCTGCTAGAGCCCAAGGAGAAGAACACATCACCCTATGATCTGTTAGTCAACTTGTTTTATATGCCTTTGCAGCACCTGCATGGGTATAACAGATTACTTCTGAAACTAGCCCACTGCTTTGAAGTGGTAAGAAAATGATGTGATTCTCATTGTGCTCTTTAAAGGAATTAAAGTGGCTTAAAAATACATAACATAATCTTTTATTGTTTAGAACACTGAGGAATATGAATGGCTTCAGAATGGCTGCTCCAAATATGAAGATTTAGCTCGTCTTGTCAGCAAGCAGAGAAGAGATGCTGAGGCCACTTTCAGTTTCTGGAGGAACTTCAAAGGAAAGAATTCGGTATGGTGCAGAATGTGAACTTTTGTTGCAGTCACTTAATTTTAAGGCAGATAGTTGCAGTCCTGGCTTCTGATGATAGTACCTTCCTGACAGATCACTGTACAGCTCCCATAGCCATTGTTTTTGTTTTATAGCAGCATTCTTATATATTAAGGACTATGTGCATTATTCAGAAGTTTTGGGTTGGTAATTTTTTTTTTTATTGTTTGAATGTAGTTTAAAACTTGTTCCTGTATTTGCAAAGCTGTATTTTCAGCAGCCATTACTCCAGTCT